TATATAAGTGTTGTATTAGATATAATTAATAGTTGATAATTAATATCTGATGATTAATAATTATTGTTATTTATAATTTAAAATATCTAATCTATTTAATTAAAATCAACAACCATTTGTAAAAAAACTAAAACAAGCACTCCCATAGACATTTGGGCATGCTTATTGTCACATAAGAATTCTAGTATTTTATAGTATGTTAAGGTTGAAGGAAATGGAGGGGAGGGGAGGGGAGGGGAGGGGAGGAGAGAGAAAATATTTTTCTATTTGGTTATCAAATGAATTGGAATGAAGGAAAGGAGAAGAATTTGTTTTACTTTATTTCTTTGATTTATCTAAATGAGAGTAGGGGAATGGAAGGTTACAATTCCCCTCCCCTCCCTTTTCCCCTCAATCCAAACATACCATTAATTTTATGTAAATTAATTTAATAATTTTACATAATAAATTCATAACAAATAAAAAATTATATTAAAATGAAATACTCAATAAGAATTAGGTATAAAAAGGAAAATTTTGTAATTGTCATGTATTATAAGAGTATAAAATTATTTAGTCAAACTTTATATAAAAGTTAAATTAAGATAACTAAATCAAACTAGAAGGATTATTATTATTATTATTTGTTTAGTTGTAAAGAACAATTGATATTTATTATTTAATAATTTAAAATTAATTTATAAACTTATATTTTCAAGTATTATAACTAATTATTTATAAAAAAAATTATAAACTACTAGTTCTTGTTTTCTTCTATTCTAAAATAATTGTTATTATTTTACATTTTCTCTAAATTAAGGATCTGGAGACAATATTTATATTTATCTATAATATTAAAAAAAATCAAAGTAAAAAAAGATTTTTTTTGTGATTAGATGATTAATTAAAGTGAATAGATAATTATAGAGTTAAAGTAGGAAAATAAATTTAGTTACCTTAAAAAATAAAAAAAATTAATTTGAGATAAATTTAAAGTAAAAAATGACAATAATTTTGAGTAAAGAGAGACTTAAAATTAACTAAATCATATGTACGCAGTTAAAATAAAATTGTGTGGCAATAAGCAAGTCCATTTCTAACATGAATGACAAGATAGTCAATGATTGGGTGAAGCATACATTTAGGACTTGTTTGGTTGGCTATTTTTCTTCAAAAAAGAATCTAGGGAAGCCAACTAGTATTACACATGACTTGTTATAGGAAATTTAATTTTTTGACATGTAAATATAGGCACAACATAATTAGTTGTGGAATGAAATGCAATATATTATATTTATAATATAATCAATTATATTGGAGAAATAAGTGAATATATTAATATAGTCAACTAGTTTTTATGTAATCGATTATATTTACTTTTCTTTAAAAAAAAAACTTGTAAATTTTAGAAAGTGGTAATATAATGCATTTCCATTCTTTCTATAACTAATTTATTGGGCCCCGATTTTTGTGTGTGAGGAAATTAAATTTCCTAAATCAAGTTGTGTGTAATATTAGTTGGCTTTCCTAGATTCTTTTTCCATGGAAATAACCAACTAAACTTGTACCCAAAAAAAAAAAAAAAAACCAACTAAGCAGGTCCTTAAGAAACTAACTTAGCTTTTAGGTCCAATGATCCATTTCCAAACTTTCGTTTTTGGATTTAATTGATTTAGATTTCAACTTTTATCAACAATTTAAAAAAATCTCCTTATTGCCCATAATTGCTCATGTTTTTTTTTTTTTTTTTTAAAGTCCTTAAGAAACATCATATCATTGTACTACATTATTAGATAATTCATCAAATTACTGAATTGTTTTTTTTTTTTTTTATAACATTGGAGGTAAGACTCGAATCCCAAACCTCGTCATAGCATGAGAAATCTTTTTATAAAAATGAGATGACTACTAAACTATAAAAACGTTCTCACTTAATTTTTTTTATTGTTTTTTAACATAAATCTTTTATTGGATATATATGATAACAAGTGCCTACAATTATCTCCATCCTTACTTTTGTTAAGCTCACATAAATTATCAAAATTTTATTTTAATTTAATTGTAAAAAATAGTTAATAAAAACTAATAAAATAGTCAATATTTAT